CAACAAGGACCTACTATATAGCACAAGGAACTCTACTCAATATTCTGTAATAACCTGTATGGGAAAAGAATCTGAAAAAGAATAGATGTATACGTATGTATAACGGAATTGCTTTGCTGTACACCTGAAACTAACAACACTGTAAATCAACTATACCTCAATATAAAATAAAAATTAAATTAAAAAAAATAAATAAATGAAGTCTTGAGAGATAGATTTGGCCGTCTGAGGCATGGAGAGCATGGGAGGACAGGGAAGGTACAGGTGGGGATGGGACAAGTAGCAGGTGGCTGGAGCAGAGGTCCACCGTGTAGAATTGAGGGGAAATATGCCTAAGGGCAAGGGACAAGAAGAAATAAAAGCCTAGAGAAGGAGTCCAATGCAGCTTTTACCCTAAAGAATTGGAGACCTCCAGCAGCTTTCCAACACAGAGGCAACACACCAGAGGGCTGGTTTGGACCCCACCCCTGAGATGGTCCATCATGGCAGTGTCTCCAAGCAATCACAAGTACAACAAAAGCAAAAAATGACCTACTTCAGACAGGGAAGCCTCAGCTGCATTTCATGAAAATGCAACTGGAACAATGAATCTCCTACTTGGGAATCGAGAGCACTGGGTGAATGGATCCTCACGGAGCTAATGAGCACCTTGGGTACCTCCAGTGTAGCAGAAGATGCTAAACAAAGGTCGACTTAGTTCTTTGCCCCCAAAACATTGCATAAAGCAAATAACATATTTGGAAGAGACATATTTAGGGAAAACAGAAGAGATAATTAAGAAGAGGGTGGAAGAGTTGAAGTTGGGTGACAGCACAGGAGGAAAGGGGCTGGTACACTGAGGCCCAGAGGGAAGAGCCACATGTTGTGTACAATGTTACATCACCTCTTTCTTCCCGTGAAAGAGGATAAATATTCATAAGGCCATGGTAATGAAGGAAAACTGGAAAAAATTAAACGGACTAGCAATGGAAAAGGTCAAAGATAAATACATTCTCATCATGTGCAGAATATTAATGTGAGGCTCTCAGCAATAAATTTTAAAAAAGAACATTTATATGACATAGTATTATATTCTTCAACTTATTTTTTAAATTTAAAACTAAATCTTTGATTTTTTTTCTCCATCAAACATAACATACTGACTTTTAAAATTGCTGCATGGTATCCCATTGTATACTACAGCTTAACTTTTTAATCATTCACTGCTCTATTGTTAGAGATATAGAACATCTGTAACTTTTAAAAAAAATTTTATTGGAGTATAGTTGCTTTACTATAATGTAAATTTATGTATTTGAAAATATTTGTATGTAATAAAAAACTCAAAATTATTAATATTGGTTACTCAGAAAAGAAAGATGGAGTTTGACTGGGAATAATGATATTTATATTTTTAAAAATAGCACTTTTAAATTTTTTGAATTGCTTATAACTATTATAATAAGAATGGGATCCTAGTAGTGTTTAAATAACAGTATATAAAATAAAATTTTAAAACAAACATTTATGGAAAGCTGGTAATGGCAACCAAGTTTGTCTCTCAAAGACACAAAAGGGATTCCTTTGCTCTGTTGCAGAGAAATATTAAAACTCCTTAGGACCTTAGTTATGTAAGGGAATCTACGGAGAGTGAGGGAAAGA